CTAAAGAGCCTCTTGATGAAAGTGAAAGAGGAGAGTGAAAAAGTTGGCTTAAAGCTCAACATTCAGAAAACTAAGATCATGGCATCTGGTCCCATCACCTCATGGGAAATAGATGGGGAAACAGTGTAAACAGTGACAGACTTTTTTTGGGGGCTCCAAAATTACTGCAGATGGTGATTGCAGCCATGAAATTAAAAGATGCTTACTCCTTGAAATGAAAGTTATGACCAACCTAGACAGCATATTAAAAAGCAGAGACATTACTTTGCCAACAAAGGTCCATCTAGTCAAAGCTATGGTTTTTCCAGTAGTCATATGGATGTGAGAGTTGGACTGTGAAGAAAGCTGAGCACCGAAAAATTGATGCTTTTGAACTGTGGTGTTGGAGAAGACTCTTGAGAGTCCCTTGGACTGCAAGAAGATCCAACCAGTCCATCCCAAAGGAGATCAGTCCTGGGTGTTCATTGTAAGGACTGATGTTGAAGCTGAAACTCCAATACTTTGGCCACCTGATGCAAAGAGCTTACTCATTTAAAAAGACCCTGATGCTGGGAAAGACTGAAGGCAGGAGGAAAAGGGGAGGACAGAGTATGAGATGATTGGATGGCATTACTGACTCAATGGACATGAGTTTGAGTAAACTCTGGGAGTTGGTGATGGACAGGGAGGCCTCGCGTGTAGTGGTCCAAGGGGTCACAACGAATCGTACACAACTGAGTGACTGAACTGAACTGAACTGAACATATTTTTTAAAAGAATAAATTCTTGCTTATTTATAGTAAAAATCAGTTTTAAAATCTAATTTATTTCTTGCAGCTGTAAAATGTTTTTAAATTTCCCACATGATTTCTTCAAAATACTGTATTACCTCAATAACCTTTACAGAAATGTTGTATATAGACCACTGTGGAAGTATTTATACTCAAGTGTCATTTACAGGAGAGCACATTTAAAAAAAAAATATTTGTTTAATTATTTGGCTGTGCCGGGTCTTAGTCCAGCCTACAACATTTTTGATCTCCCTTGTGTCCCTGTGTATGTGTGTGTGTTTGTGTGTGTATGGGTGCTGAGTTGTGCCCAAAACTTGGGGCTCCATGGACTGTAGCCCACCATGCTCTTCTATCCTTGAAATTTTCCAGACAAGAATACTGGAGCGGGTTGCCATATCTTTCTCCAGGGGTTCTTCCCAACCCAGTGATTGAACCCATGTCTCCTCTGTCTCTTGGGTTTGCAGGCAGATTCTTTGCCACTGAATCATCTGGGAAGCCTGAGGGTTTTTAGCTGTGGCGTGAGAACACTGAGCTGCAGTATGTGAGATCTAGTTTCCTGACAGTGATTGAATCCGGGCTCCCTGCTTTGGGACCGTGGAACAAAGAAGTTCATTTGGGAACTCAGTTGGGAACAGAGAAGTCCCAGGATAGCAAGATTTATTAAAAATTCTAGAATAAACAGTCCTGATTACAAAATTGATTTCTATTCTCTGGTCTGATCTACCAGCAGGTGGCCTAGAAAGCCTGGGGCTCAGAATGTCTATCACTGGAGATGAGTCCAGTCTCTCCTATGCCCTCCTGCCCCCAGCACCTCTGCGCTGGCTACTGGAACAGCTTGGGTGAACCCTGATTCATTGGTGATCACATGCAATATTTGAGTCAAATTTCTGTCTCTGGATTTTGCTTTCCTCCCTATTGTGAGTAATAGAGGTAAATACAAAGGTTGAAGACTTAATGCCATTCATCAGGAGGGAGAAGACTGCAAACAAAAGAAAAAAGCATTACGGAGTTCTTGCTCAACAACTCCAGAGTCAAGCTGTCAACAAGCAATATTTCACTGGATCCTATTAAAAATCCCATAAACTCTGTGTGCATCATTATATTCATTGTAGGGGGAACCAAAGCTCTGCCTAAGGTCCTCCCAGCCCTATATCCCCTTCCTCAGAATAAACAATTGCAACCACTGAATCCTTAGCAGAGATTGGCTACATTTTATTAGGCTGCATTTTGTTTAGACACACTGTGAGGGTTAAATTTATGTGTCAATGTCACTGTGAGATGAGATGCCCAGATCTCAGGTCAAACATTAATTCTGGGAGAATCTGTAAGGTTATTCCTGGAAGAGATTAGCATTGAAATCAGTATATAGAGTCAAGAGATCAGCCCTCACCAGTGTGGGTGGGCATTGTCTTATTCTCTGGGGCCTGAATGGAATGAGGGCTACTGCTCTCCCTCTCTTCTAGGTCATGAATACCAGGGCTTCTGGCTCATGAACCTTGAAACTACAGGACATACACAAATGGTTCCCTGGTTCCCAGGCTTTTAGCCTTGACTCAGAGCTACATCATCACTTCCCCTGCTTTTAAACCTTAAGACTGGGTCCGAATTATATCACAGCCTTTCCCAGTTCTTCAGGCAACAGATAGCAGACAGTGGGACTGCTGAGGCTCTGTAATAGTGTCAGCCTCTTTTACATGTGTCTATGTATCAGGTGAATCCTGAACAACACGTGGTTGAACTGCTCAGGGTCACTTAGATGAGGATTTTTTTTAACAGTAAATTTAGTTTTACACAATATGTAGTTGGGTTGAATCTGAGGAGGATGAACTGAGGATAGGGAGAGCTGACTAAGAGTTATATGTAATACATAACATACATTTGTGATACATTTGGATGTTCTGATGTCCAGACAAGCTATCCTTAATTTTTCTGATAGACAGGGACTGGACTTATGATGGGAATTATGTATTCTGATATGACCAATTAACAAAAATGTATAATTCTTGAATGTGGTATTCAAATAATAGATCCATGTTAAATGTTTTTGCTAATTTAATACTTTTCTAAAAAGAATTTGCTTGTCTGGCCACAACTTGATTATATCCATAAGGACCACTACCCACCCATGATAGGCACGGAATGGTGAGAACCAGTATCGTTTATTGGCAGAATGGAAAACATCTTGCAGAAGTGGGGACCTGTGTTTGTGGCAGTGAAGCACACAAAAAGACAAGGAACTGCAACTTATACACCGACTGATAGAAGTATGAAGAATACCCATGTCAAGGTCATGGCCTGAGTCAGTAGTGAAAGCCCTGCAAAGAGCTCTTCACTCCAGTTGTTTGCCAGACACTGAATATGTTCCCCTTTGTGTGTATTAACCCACTGAACAGCCAAAGAAATAAGCAAGGAGCTAAGAGATGTCCAAGACAGAATAAAGAAATTTCAGGAATGTAAGGTTTTGAATCATGGACAACACAGTGCTTTTTTTTTTTTTTAATCACTAACTGGAAATAATTAGGACATGTAATAATATATCATGGAGAACAGCAGTTGGTTTTCAATAAGCATCTCTTTATTTTTAATTAATTTTTATTGGAGTAGGATTGCTTTATAATGTCCCATTAGTTTCTTGCTATACAACAAAGTGAATCATATCTATACATGCATCTACTCTCATTTTAAATTTCCTTCCTATTTAGGTCACCAGGAAGATATCTTTATTCTTGACCATTTCTGTACATCCATCTCCCTCAGGGATAACTGTAACATGTGGGGCTCAAGCATGTATTCACCTAGGTTCATATTTCAGATTCTAGAAGTCCATGTCCCTGAAAGTTCCATCCCTTCCAGAGTCTACATTTCCCCCTGCAATACTGAATCCCCCCTCCACTATCGCCTTTCTTTTTCCCATTCACACTGAGAAAATGTCTGAAATCACAGCTCTCTTTTCCCTTCATGATGTCCTCATGTTCTAGATTTCAGTTTCCAAGTGCCTAGAAGAAAGCTTTTAATAGTGGTAATTCTCTAGGCAGGGGCAGTACAGCTGTATATAATGGGCTCCAGATGATAGCATATGTTCTCACCACAGTGAAGACAGGGGCTGGGACTAATCCAGATGACCCTGGGACATCCCAAGTCTCTCAGAATCTCCAACAGCTGAGCCCGAACCTGGGCAAGTCTCGCTTCCAGGAGAACACCCTGAGATCTGTAACTCTCCTGAGGGGCAGGATAATGCTCTTGCGTTAAGCAGGGCAGTCCAGTGGTGTGTCGCAGCAGCTTCTCCATAATAGCCATGGACAGAAAGTTCTCACACAGGCTTAAGTACCTGAGCCGGGAGCAGCGGCTCAGGGCAGGCAAGATGGCCTCTAGCTGGGAGTCCTTGATCCCACACAGATCTAAGTCCAATTCCTGGAGGGTGGCTTCAACTTTCTCCAGCAGAACGCGGAGGAGCCCAGGATTAAAGTCAGTCATGGTGACACCACTCAGATCTAGGCCCTTTAGCTGACTGATGTTTGGGCTCTGGGACAGGTGGGTCAAGTCTGATTCTGTAAGCCAGCAGTTGGTTATTGACAGGTTGTCCAAGGGGGACTTCAGGCACCTGGGGAGAAATCAAACAATTAGTTCTTGGAAACTGAAGTACCAGGTTGCATACTGGTGATAGACAAATGGCTTCTATGGAACTAACATTAGTCAGGCCAACTCTTGAGGGTCAGTACACTGATTCTCCATTTCATTGTAGGCTAAGTCCTATCACCTTCACTGTGAGACTGAGTCACCTCACAGAATCTAGAGAGCACTCTCTCCTCATCTATCAAGCAGAGTACAACATACTCTACTTCCGTATGGGGATGAATGAAGATACTGGAATGCATAAGAATATGCTATGAGGAGAGCCAGGAAGAGTCTCTTTCAAGTGTAGACATCACTTAATATTAGTGTTGGGTGATAAGATTTAAAAATAACTTCATATAAGTCTTCCTTCAGTCCAAGTTTGGGCTCCATATGCCTCTGTCTCTGACCAAGTGAGGTCCTAGGGAGACATACATAAGGAACCAACTTATGTTGCCTTCTAGAGGGGCTCACTTACATCCCTGCATCATCTACCGACTTTCTATCACTTTTTATTATCCTTTTCTCTCAATTCAATTAACAAACAGTTCAGTTAACGTATCTGGAGAACAAAACACCATCTTATAGACAGGGATACCAAGGGATCATTTCATGAAAAGTTGGGCACAATAAAGGACAGAAATGATATGGACCTAACAGAAGCAGAAGATATTAAGAAGACGTGGCATGAACACACAGAAGAACTATACAAAAAATATCTTCATGACACATGTACCCCAATGTTCATCACAGCACTGTTTATAATAGCCAGGACATGAAAGCAACCTAGATGCCCATCAGCAGACGAATGGATAAAGAAGCTGTGGTACATATACACCATGGAATATTACTCAGCCATTAAAAAGAATTCATTTGAATCAGTTCTAATGAGATGGATGAAACTGGAGCCCATTATACAGAG